CCAGTAGGTCCCCCAGCTTTCCCTGTTTGCTTTCTGATTGATATGCCGGTTTTGAAAGTTCAGCTTTTTAATTTCCTCAGAAATTAATTGCTGTTCGCAGTATACATCAGTATATTTAAGGTCTATTGATGTAGGCCGAAATCGTCAGTGTATAATTGGGCTGTAACACGTCAAACTCTGCGTAATATAGACATGCTACCAACAGGCAGACTGTAGTAGCATATATTTATGTTGTAACTTACCGTAGTAACAGCCCAGGTACTAGCTAAAAGGCCCAGACACGTGTTTCGGCGGTATTTTGGTTTATGCCTATAGAACTTTAATAAACTGATGTAAACCGCGAAGAGAAATTAAGTTCTAAGGAAATTTAAAAGCTGAATAAACGAACTATTCCGTTGCTCGAGCAGTCTTCTCCTTTTCTAACTTACGTTATTATTTCTCGTACTGGGTTGATAGACTTCGGCTAGAATATTCATAGCAAATTTCGGTCTACACCCGTAAACCCTTGAATATACCGATCCACTCTGAGTTAAAAAAGCTACAATTTAACAACTGGCTGATTTATCAGAATCCACACGCGGAATGTTGGAGGACCCACTGTTGAGCTGAAACCCTTTCTCCTGTACCACGCAGCGACAGAATACAGGCGAAACAGGTGCATGTGCTTGTAGATAGTTTCTGTGCTGCTAGTATGGTAAGCACTTACGTAACTTGTTGATGAATGTTCACCGATCGCTAACAAAACTCACTCGTCCCACTCTGCCTCGGCGCTCACTATCATCTCAATCTGTCCGCACTCATCCCGAGCGGATGGTAGAACCGAGTCAGAAGAACTGGGAGGAGGTGTGGATGCAGTAGTCGATGATGCCAAGGTCGCCCGCGCATATTACACATGTTCTTATCTTGGGACTGGGTATGACTAGCTGATGATAGCCAATGAGCCAGAAATGGTCATTCGAATCTCCCTCATCTTTGTTGACAATGTTCCTCTGTCTACACTACTAGTCGCTGTGTGGCTAATAGTGGGATTCAAGAGTGAGCCCTGAGGCAGAATGGGAAGAGTGATACCCGCAATCGATCGGTGAGCGTTCCCCAACGTCCCGTTTTGATCAACTTCTACAACAGTGCAGTCCATTTGAACAGCATAGTTAGACTACTTAATTTTATAATGTGCCACTGCTACCTTAATGCATTTCAGATCATTCAGCTGGCATGCGAATAACAATTTCGAAAGCGAGCAAAAATATAAGTGGCTAACTCCAAGAAAATACTTGCTCAATATTTCGAACTAATTAATAATGTTCAAGGAAGTAATGGCTAGGTAAGTAGTGATAAAAGCAGACTCTTCCCATTTGTCATCAGCGTTGAATTTGCATCCACAGCTGTTTTTGAAATCAGTCTGCATGAGTACCTGGAGAAGGACGATTGTGGCGGGAGATCGCCTTGACTCGAGCTTCTTTTTGATGAGATCTAGATCATAAGGCTCAGGGAGAGCAGCCAGTATGTCATTGGCAGTGTCCCCGACGAGCTCATCCTGACTGAGCAAACCAGGTACCTCGACTTCTCGCGGCTGAAGCTGCATCAGAAGGCTCCAGTTCTCCTGTATGGCCGAGGTAAAGTACCCAATCTCCGCATTAGCATGGAGACCAAACACCTCCGGCGAGCTCTCCAATGGTAATTGTTCGATGTAACCTGTACAGAAGGTTCATAATCGATAAGAGTTATTGACAGCGACAAGGGGAACTAGAATACGAAGTTGATATTAAAATAAAAA